TTTAAAGCCCCCTCAGCAAACCTCGAGCCGTATTTCCAATATCTTGGTGCACAAGGCCTTGATAAACTCAACATCTTATCACCAGAAGCTTCGATTGCCCAGTACTTTTTTCTTGGGGCAGTCACCGTCTTTTCGACCCTCATAGTTCGCGACCGCCTACGATCTATACGAACCGATACCATATGCCCCTTGTTGCAGTCTCCGGCCTGTCTCCAGTCTCCGCCGTCAATCACTGTCGGGGGCTCCATCTCCCCATACAGTCCAACTCAGTCTGGGTTGATAGGTAGACAGACATATACGGTCTACCTTCACCTGCACTGCATCAGCATCTGCATCTACATTTGCAGCCATCTTGTTGTAATGCCCAGCAAACCGACCAAAGCAACCATGTCCAGCTCCAATTCTCCCACATCTCAAACCTCCAACAGCTACGTCGAGCAGACCGTCTCGGTATTGAGCTCGGTCGCCAGCTATATGCGTCTGCCCGCGTTGGCTTCAACGGTACGTCCACTATACTGCAGCTTGGCTGACAAAATAGTCTTGACTGCAGCCATCCATAACTACCTACTTAGGGACTATTCTAACGTCAATGCGCATACAATAGGGTCTCGCCGCCGTCCTCACCTCATTACTTTACTTTAAACAAAAGTCCGTATCCCAACACCATTACCATTACCATCACCGCCTCCGTCTCCGCCTCCTCTTCCTTGCTACTACCAACCTCCTCCTTCTGCCTGACCCGCATCATCATCAAGCCGAGCCCCGCTAACCCTGTATTAGGGCTCTCATTTACCCGAGTAACATTCCCGCAAATTCTCGCTCAGATGTCCCCAAGCCTTCCGACTTTGGCATCTCAAATTTCGAAGAACTTTACATCCCGACCGACGATGGCGAGAAGCTCTCAGCCTTCTACATCCGTGGCCCTCGCGGCCACAAGAACTCAAACATCACCATCTTGATGTTCCATGGCAATGCTGGCAACATTGGTCATCGGTTACCCATCGCTCGAATGATCATAAACTACATTGGCTGCAACGTTTTTATGCTCGAATATAGAGGCTACGGTTCCTCAACAGGCCAGCCTGACGAGTCGGGTCTCAATGTTGACGCGCAGACAGGACTCAACTATCTGCGGCAGCGGGCCGAGACACGCGACCACAAGCTCATGATTTACGGACAGAGTCTGGGCGGTGCCGTCGCTATCAAGCTTGTCTCCAAGAACCAGGAAGCGGGTGATATCGCTGGTCTGATCTTAGAGAACACTTTTCTCTCCATCCGGAAGCTGATCCCTTCCGTTGTGCCCCCTGCCAAATACCTTACCCTGCTATGCCACCAAGTCTGGCCCAGTGAGTCGGTTCTCCCCAACATCACAAAGGTTCCCACGCTCTTCATCAGTGGCTTGCAGGATGAGATTGTTCCGTAAGTCCCTCTACATCCTCTCTTGCACTACTACCCCCGGTCCTGTGATGATTAAATTTGCATCACCCACAAAAGTTGAAGTACCCTCGTGGTCTTGATATGAAAGCAAATACTCCCTGATGATCGACATTGCATTCTTCTACTGCAGCATAGCGCAACACAGAACACGAAGCTAATGTATGCCAGGCCAAAACACATGAAACAGCTGTATGACCTCTCCGCCGCACCTACCAAGCGGTGGAAGCCTCTCCCAGGTGGTGATCATAATTCAAGTGTCCTGGAAGAAGGTTACTTTGAAGCTATGTCAGATTTCATCGCTGAGGTAACGGGTGATGCACCACAAGAGAAAACACGTTTGTAGAGACTGGGTATATTTCTTTTAATATTCCATTATGCATGCATAGCCTTGGTGAAGGAAGGAAAGCGCACGGACAGCATCACACTCACGATTGACGACACCTCCTTTTTGTATTACCACACCTCTGCGTACGTTTTCTTTGCTAGTCCATATCTACGTACACGCTCAACGCTCGCAAATAGTGGACTCGTAAACCCCCAGCTAGAAAAGAAACTTGACATTGATGAGACATCTATAAACTATTTTGAGTTTGTTCGCTTGTGCATGTGGTGGCCTTGGTGGGGGCATCTTAAGCCTCGTGATCCCTCCCAACTTGATGTTCGCGTGATACGTAAAAATAAGTCGTTGGTCTTACATCAATGTCTTATATGCCATCCTTTCGGTGCCCTCAGGGAGCAAGAAAATATCAGACCTTGATACAGGTTATCCAAATACACTTGACACAATGTGTCCTAAAGTTGGGCTAAAGTTGGGCTAAGTGACCTAAGTCTTCTTGTCACTTGGGGATGGCTGCACTCTGCATCTGCCGCATGGAAGTTTGTTCTGAAAACAAGAGAACGTGATTAAGAATGATCTGAAAACCATGGTGGATCTGCGAGAACATTTCGAGGGCAATCAGATGGGGGGTGTTGAGCAGAATAATGCTGAGAACCACAGTCCTCAGACAAAAGGTGCTGAGGAGAAATGTATTGATGTAAAGATGACTGATGCTGAAGTGGATAAGGTCTGCTACATTAGGTAGAATGTCGTTGACACTCTTCTCTGTTTATAGGGGTGTTCCAAACTGCTCTCCTGCTAATGCTTACTCTGCTTCAACCTCCTCTACAGCAGGTAGTTTGTCGTATTCAGGGCTATGTTACAGACATGAGAGAAAGCGTCATTTCCCTAATAGGTACTTTAGCTACCACCTCGGGCGGATGCCAGCTTGAATTGTCGTTTTGTGCAGACGTCTGGTTATGTCGACTAGTTTTGGTAAATCGTCCTCCGGTCACTCGTGTAAGCTGGAGCAAGTCTGAACAAAGAAAACTTCGCCACAAGACCACAGGAGTTCCATAGCCGTCCAATGCATCATACTTGAGTCCGTCTTATAAACTGCTTAGCCACCGTTGTCTTTAGCTGGTTAATGCAATCTCCCTCCTTAGTAGGAAACTAGGCCTCCTGTGTTTGGTGCTGGCTTCTACATGTATCAAGCATCGTGAAGGCGATAATCATAACTTCAGTAATCGTCTGTCTGCGTTACTTTCCTCGAGTCTCTCGAACATCCCCTCTGTCGTAAAGTAGAGCTGGCTAGCAGGTGATAAATCCTTCTATGAAGTGCCATTGATTCCTGTAACGTTAGCTTGTCCTCGATGATGCCAACAACAACTGCAAGTTAACTCAAGTGAAGGCGGCAACAAGACTTAGGATATTGATCATAAATGATAAGAAATGATTAGGCAAATTATCCTAAGCTTAGGGGACTCTTTGATGGGCTTATTTTGGCACCTTTTATCAAGATCTAAAGTCAAGTTTTCTTGCCCCTTGTGGCTTGATCCTACCCCTGAATCTAATCACTTGAAACTACCATTGCTGAGCATGATCAAAATGGATTGCCTATAAACCTGCATGGGCTGCAATTTCGTTGTCAAAGTCTCCTCTGCATTCAAGAAGGGAACCCATTTCTTCATGAAATCCGGGTGGCCACATGTCTCCTCCCTCTCAGCGTCTAGCGAGAGGTAGCACTAGGCCTCCCAGACCCCTTCATCATCTCTTGGGTGATGCTCTTGGTCGAATAGGAGTTGCTCTGAAATCGTCATCGCTGCATGTAAAAGCGGACTTGGGCTTCAGCTTGGGCTCGGCGTAATGATGATAACCAAATTCTCTTCCAACGAGGTTCATCTTGTACAGCACCCCATTCAATGTATTGTATGCCGTGATCAGTCCATTAGCAGATTTCCATGACTGACGTTCTTCACGTAGCAAAGGAGACTTTAGCATCGGGCTGAATGAACGGTAGGGAGATTCAAAACCGACTTAGGTCTTGCGACTGTCATTCCTCTGAGCTTTTAGTAGTGCGCTTCATCAACCACCAGGAATATTCACGTTGTTCGAGCGAGACTCCCTCGTGGGGCTTCAGGCTGTTGTGTGCCGATATGACAACTATGACCCAAGTTAGCAGAAGTGATGAGGAGGCATTTTGGTTAACGAACTCAGTGAGTGCGTGGGTGAATCAAGCATACTATAAATGAAAGGGGTAGAGCATTCTTGATTATGCAGCCTTTGGTCTCACTACATACGGTGGGTGGATGGGTATTGCTCATCGAATTATGTGTTACCAATGCCACTCATAGTTGAATCCTTACAACCTCTTTGGTTAAAAGTACATAGTGAGATCGAGAGGCATGTCTAACAAACGCCGAATAAGCGAGAGCTGAAGACCATAGCCCAATTCTGTGTATAGCAGTTAAGAGGGAGGGATGGAGAAAGCTGGCATAAAATATAATAGTAAGAGCTATTTGCAAACATTTCGACTTGAAGAATACACTGCCAAGCCAGTTAATAGGCGAGAGAATAAGGAGAAGGTGAAAAGTATAACCGTGGAAGAAGAGGAGGCTTCAGAGTAATGAAAGTTCTAGTCTTCCTAAATATATTAATATTCTTTAAATGAGATTTGGAATAGCTTTGTAATACACAGTAATAAAGTTTAAATCTACTGAGATATCCAGTAGTATATAGAATTCTATAGGGACTTTTAGTAACTTGTTCTTCTCTTCCATGTCCAGAATGGCCTTGGGGAACAAGAAAACTCCTGACACTTAATGACACTGCTAAAAGATTACCTACCTTAGGTACCTTACTCACCTAGGTACTTCGTGGGTTAGTAGGTATCTAGTATAAAGACGGATGCCAGCTCTAAGCTTACATTCTTCATATCTCAAATGACCACCGCCGCAGATAGCTTCAGTCAGATTGCACTCAAGCTCAACGCGCCGAACAACATATCTACTGCGGTCACGTGTATGGTCTACCTCGGCTACTGTCGCTATATTTGCGCTGTTTTTATTCATTCTCTGTGTTGTCCAAGACAAATATACAACAAAATAAGTGTCACGATCAGCCACAAAGGTTTGTTTAATTATCAACTCCAAATCTACAACTAAATGGAAATAAATAATGACTGTTACCTAGAGTATGAGCGATACTAGGCGAGCTTTCTACATCATTGAAGAATATACAGACGCCAATGCATACAGAAACGGGATCAGAACTGGTCGCAAAGGCAATGAAAGCTGCCGACCAGCTAGGCATAAGCACGATCCCATCGACAGCTGCCACAAATGCGCTCTCAGCTATCGGGGCCAAGGCACTTGAAGCAATCAAGGAAGTGGCCAACGCCCGCGAGAATGATGGAGATGATACAGTCGTCGTCACCACTCCGATCAAAGACCATCACCTCTAACCAAGACGAAAAGAAGAAACCACCGCCCGGTATTTTCCCCGCTAGTGGAAGCTATACTCTCGAAGATCAAAAAAAGATTCGCGAGCTCTGGCCCGGGGAGAAGATATTTGTGGTTTCCGAGTTTGTCCTTTTCTTAGACATCATCAAGGAAGGGATTGAACGGCGCAGCAAGACGAATCCTTCTTGCTGAGTATAACGGCACTGTCAATCTGGAGGAACGTTCTCGGGTTCAGTTTGCCTTCAATTTATCGATTGCTGGACCAGATATTCTTCCGCTCATTGCAGGAGCAGGTGGGCAGGGCCTGAACCTTGCCAGGGGTACGCATATGATCATCACGGAGTCATCCTGGACACCCCGTAAACTGGACCAGGTCATCGGGCGAACCTATCGGCTCCCCCAGGACAAAACAGTCCACATATGGCACATGATAGCCCACCCGTCTAAGATCGACATGTTCGTCCTGGATAGACAGGCGCAAAAGGTCCATTTCGTGAGACAGCTTCTCTCTGCTTTTACAGGTGAAGCAGATACAAAGGCCTCTGATGAGGCAGTTGATATCAATAAAAAAGCATTGCCTACCCGCACAATCCACCAGTGGGCCAAGGGAAGGGCCAAGGATGTGGCCGAAAATGAGCGTATCAACAAGTCAAGTCGTTGGAGGAGTAGAGTCAAATTAGATGAGCTTTAGGATTGCTTTAGGGTTTATTCCCTAAGCTTAGTAAACCTATGCCCTAAACTTATGCCTCTATTCTAAAATCTTCATAAACTTTACCTAATTCTTTTGTACAGTTCAGATGAGATTGATGCAAATAAGGGAACGAACTGGGCGTTACTGTCAATAGTGTCACATTACAACTGACCTCTTTACCATGCTAGCGGATAACAGAAAGCTTTAAGACCTTACCCCCAAGTTACAGATATTTAGGACAAGTCAGGATAGTTTACGGTAATCTCAGTGGACTCTTTAATTTATTCTTGGTACCTAATTTCTGAAGTCCTGCATCTTCTGACAACTCAAGGCCTGTCTTGCTAGAAAACGGTCTTGTTACCAGATGACTCTGACACCGAGTTTGTTCTCATTCATGGACCAGAAAGGTCATAGATTTGTTTGTACTCCGTGATCAACTTCGGCAAGTAGTTGAACCCGGACGCCCTTCTGTCTACCCTTGCATGCACCCTCACTGATGCCTCTAGCATTCAACGTCACCATCAAGAGCGGCCCACACCTTTCCCGCCTCCGGCTGTTGCGGCCTCTTCTTTTTGAGTCCTAGAAGTAGTTTGCGTCCGGGTTTTGCCTCCTCGGGTGCAGGAGTAGAAGATGAGGACATTGCTCTAGAAGCCGCGCGTCCAGCTATGGCACTCCATCCTCCAGTACCGGTCCGGAGGGGTACCTCTCGCCGAGAAATTGCACCGGTAGCGTCTGCGTGACAGAGCAAGACGCTTTCAGCGAGCTTTTCGCGGCGGATAGTCTGCTTGATCCGAGGTTTGAGAATCTCTAGGCTCTTTTCCATGGGTGCTGGTGTGAGAAATGCGGAATATGAGACTGAAGCTTTGATGAGAACTTCATCGTTCAGAAAATCAACCTTGAAACTGAAGCCTTGCAGGGATATGAGATCCGGTTCAAGGGCAGTATTGACTTCCTCGATGGTCAGACCGAAGCGAGGCTCCGTAAGTACCAGAGCATTGAAAGGCTCAGTCTCGAGAATTGGGGGGCTCGGAGGTCGAATGGCAGCCGCAGCCGCAGCTTCGGCAGCTTGGGTTGCTCGGATCTTGACACACTGCGCAAGTGTCTTTGCCGGGGCTGAAACAAACTTATCTGATTTCCACACTAGAACAGATCGGTGAATGTCGTAGTCCTCACTCTTACTCTCGAAGCCGAAGTCCTCAGCGAGCAAGTGAAGAAATTGGCGTGACTGGTTCTTCATCGGCTCATATCGTAAACGAACTTCGTCTTTGTTAGCAGCAAAGACTCGGAATTGGCTCTCCTGAGCATCTCCCCATGATTGCATCTGTTTATAGAGCTTCAGAGTATTATCCGAGAAGGGAATATGGTCGTTGGTGTGAGAAGCAGGGTCGATATTGAGAGCTGCGGCTAATCGACGGTTACGGTCAAGTCGTTCGCACTCCTCATCACATCGAATCTCTGGTCGACTCGGAGTAGGGTTGCTCGTACTTGCTAGGCACTTGAAACTCTGCTTGTGATTACCACATGCACAGCTGGTGGACATCTTTACCTGACAAGCTGTTGATTCTTTACAGGCTGGTACGTATGTTAGTAACAAGCTTGTAACTGGGTTTTATCGACGTACGAGTTTGTCCATGGCAGACGCTCTGGCATGGGTGGTTACATAGCAGCTTGGGTTTTCCGCATATTTGCTCGCAACCGTGCTGAGCATCTCCGCATTCTCCGGGGCGATGACATAGCTTTTTACATGTATGAAGCCCGCAGGAGAGTTTCTGCCCGCATTGCTCTCCGCAATGAGCCTCTTGCAAATGACAAGGCTTGTTGTGAAAGGTCGTTTTTCCACAGATGCATCGCTTCTGAACGAGGTATGTGCATGGCGGGCAGGATACATCATCAGGATGACACTGATGGTCAACAGAAGGATGTCCACATGCAGTCTGCCGCTGGCACTGGTTAGTGCAAGATGGCTGTCTCGTTCCGCATGGTTGTGGAGGATGCAAGACTGTTTGGCCACAATTGCACGAAACTTCTTCCCAGATAGCCTCGGGGCAACTTTGGCAAGCTCCGCGGTGGCAGAGTTGTTCGCAGAAGTGACTACCGCACTTAAGTGGTCGTCCGCAGACGGCGACACAGATATGCTCGGCCTCAACTGGTAGCGAATCAGGGCCCAGGCGTTGCTTCTTCTGCTGAGCAATACGCTGAGATGCCTTCTTTTCACCCGGGCAACAATGCTCTCCGCATCGATGTCTTCCGCAGTTGCGAGTAGCCTGGCATATCTTGAAACATAGGGGATGTTGGACATTTCCCTCATGGCAGATCGTCTCGCTCGTAACTCGGCCACAGCGGCAGTCAATCTCCATCGTTTGGGTGCAAGGGTCACATTCCCCAGTGTGGCACAAGGATTGGCAGAGATGACCGCATTCCAGCTTCTTCTCGCAAATCCTCTCACAGTGAGGAACATTATCTTCACAAGTTTGACGAGGCTGCTCCATGAGTTCCTTCAGCGGTGTCCTGCCACAAGGGCAATGGGTGATAACGTCCGGAGAGAAAGGGCAATGAACCGAGTCCTCTTCTTGCGGGTGACAAGAAATCTGGCAACGATGTACACCACAATCGAAGGCTCTTCCGCAAGCACTCTCGCAGCTAAAAGAACCCTCAAACCAGGAATTGTTGCCTGGATCGAACGAGTCGCATATGTCTTCCCGTTTAGAACATTGCATCTCCTTTTGCACTCGTCCACAATAGCACTTAGCTTCGACCAGCACCTCGCAGGTACCGCAGACACCTGGATGGCATGTTTGAGGACATTCATGTTGACCACAAGGTAGAAAATCGCCGCAGCGCTCTCGACAACTCCACCCGTTGTAGTAATCGGTATCCCTACAGTTCTTTCGCTGAGAGTGCTTTCCACAGTAACAGGGCTCCGGTGGGCTTAATACGGTGCACGGAGGGCATGGACCAGGATGACATTGAAGAGTGCATGGGTGGGAACATGTCGATCTGTGCTTGGAACATGTTTGCCCACATGAATGAGGAGGCAAGATGCTGTTCCGACTGGGCTGCGTTTCTTTGCCGCACCAACACGAACTATCGCCTGGTCCTTTTATCAACGTTGAGTTACACCCAGGGCAACGCCATGATTGGTCGCCGCTCTCCTCGTTGACTTTCATGGACGTAACCCACCACTGGTGGGCACATTCAAGATGAACGACGGTCCAGCAAGTAGTGCACGACCAGACCTCGGTTTTTCGAGTAACCTCTTCGGTGCAGATACGGCACTCATAGTTCCAGTTGGCGATGTCTTCCTGGATTCGTTGCCATAATTCCGAGGCAGTCGACTTGGGAACATCTTGGCGGGGTCTGTCCTGCTTCCGGTCCCTCGTACGGTTTCTTGCGCGTCCTTGGCCTGTGGGCTGAGAGGCGCTTGATGGCTGCTGTTGGGCACTTAAAGCTGTCAGTATATGATGCATTACCTTGGGTCTACCGGTCCTACCTCCTCTGGGACACAGGCTGTCCGGGCACGAATTCTGGGGCGTCTGCACTCAGAGATGCATCTTGAGCAATCTCTGTCGGTTGTTCAGTTATAGTCAGGCGTCCACCAAAAGTGCGCTGCGGTCCCATGGAGAACACGCCTCTTCCTTGGTTTCGTTGCCCTCGAGGACCACCTCGATTACCTCGCCGGTTTCTTCTAGCTCTAGAGGACCCTGAGCTTTCGGGGGCAGCTACGGTTTGTGCAGTAATGGTGGCATCGGCAGACCCTGTCTGAGGAGCATTTCCGCTACCTTCGGGAACTTGTGCTGAATCATCCTGTAGCTGGCCACGATTCCGTCCTCCCCTTCCCCTGCGGCGTCCTCCACCTGAGCCTCCCCGAGAACGTGATGCTGAACCCTGGCCCTCACTTGGCGACCGGTTTGGGGCATTATTTCGTGCCTGATGAGAGGTACGGCTGGTCTCTTGCTCAGCCATGATGGCGGAGATCACAGTCGTGAGCTGAGAAGTCGTCGTTGTTGCAAATATTGCGCTATGTAGTATAAAGCGTCTTCAAACCTACGAATAAAGAATAGGAAAACAATGACCTTCAAACAAAGAGCTTGCTGGCGAAGGGAGAACTTGGAAGGAGAAAATGGGGGAAATTTTCCAACTGCTTCTTCACGAGAGCGAGAGTTAGAGGAGCAGGAGAAAAGTATCAAGGAAAGAAATCTGGAAACCTTATGATATATTATGCTGTTTGCAATAAATTCTTAGGAGGCGTTGAACACCGGTGGAGCCCTGTGTGCTTCCGTGTGGCGAAGCCAATCTGACAAACACAGACAATCATTGGTTGGTTCGATAGTCCATCAGAATGAGTCACCAACAGGAACCACCTCTTTTGGAGGTTTAAATCTGTCCATTTTTAAATCTCAGCAGCTAGAAAATTGAGTCCATCCCAGGAACGTAGTGCCTTAGCGGAAAGAAAGAGTCACTGGTGCTGACACATCAGCCTGATGTCGGTTTCTGCCTGGAAACAAACCCCAGACGTCACTCCCGATTATTGTGGCTGAAAACCGGTGGCCGCCACCTATCAGCAGTTGCAAGAGTCAAGTTTGTCATGGAACACTACACTAATATATTGGCTGTCTAGGTAAGCTGCCTTGCAGTATTAATCTAAAAGGAGTCTTTTATGGTCTTGTTCAAGTCACTCTATCATATCAGGTCATATGGAACTACAATCACTTTGGCTACTGCCATTGTGCTTGTTTTAGGGTAAGTACCCATCAGGAAGCAAGAAAATATCAGATCTTAGTATTATATATTAAAATAAACTCGATAACAGTTATCCTAAATTTATATTGTATTACCTAAGTCTTTTTCTTATTTAGGATTGAGGTCCTGAGTTTTCTTTCCTCATGAAACAAGTGCTCGAAAAATAAGTATTACAAAAGATCCAAGCTCTACCTATTGCTTAATATTGAATTTTCAATATTACCAGGTATATCTTTCTGGTAGCCACTGAACCGCCGCAAAACCCTAGCGGGCATATCTTGATACTATCATGGACTAACAGTAGACATTTTCCAGGACATATGGCCAGGACCAGAAAACTCCCATGTGAACTATCGAAATTTGTTGGATCTTGAGGTTACTAAAATAAGAATCAATTTACACAACTGGTTATAGGATGCGGATCCTATTGGTGAAGCAGAGGTTCCCTATTTACAACCACGTTCATTCGTCCACTAATAGCGTATTTTACAGGTTGCGGCTCACCTCGGGTTTAACATCCCCGGCACATCTCTCCACACAACAGAAGCGCAGGCGGCTGCTGTTTGCCAATTTGCATATGCGCAGGGCAGAACGGAGCATGTTGAATGGATCTCGGCATGAAGTGCGACGCAAGATTGATCACGTTGACAAGAGATCTCGGGAGAGGCCGGGATGTCGGTACCGGCTCCGGATGCCCTGAGGCTCCACTTCCGGCCTAGACATAAACATCATCTCACTCACGACGGTTGTAAGAGAACAGCTGAGGAATCAAAGATCCTTGATAAAAGTAGTTACCTTGGAAAGTTTGATGGTCGAACAGTTAGCTTGAATCGGCGTTCAGTCGAGGACATTGTTCAAAAACAACCATAACATATCGGGGAGTCTTCTGGATCAGAACCATATTTAGCTTCATATTACCTGTGACAGCAATGGTTCTCGTGAAGCCAATTGATGATCCTTCGAACAGCGCCATAAGTAGGCAGAGACAGATCCTTTTGAGGCTCTGAGCCCCCAATACCCGTCTGGGGTACTCCGTACGGGTGCTCCATATTCTCCATATGGAGAGGAGCTCGGGGCAGCCTCCAACCCCCGGGATAGCTTCTCACGAGCTTCACGAGTTGGGAGCTAGGCTCGGTAGTGTGGCGTCTGCCGTCTTTAATACACGCCCCTTCACCATGAAATAATTGCTTGTTGCAGACGGACAACCTCCGAAGGCCCCCATGCTTCAGCAGTACCCTCACCAGGGGATAGGAAGAAAACCAACGACAGGTATCCCAAGGAACAAAAATATTTTAGACAGGTTTAGCATAACTTAGGTATCCTTTTAATTAGCTTATTATAGCACCTTGAACACATGTCTTGCATCTTTTGGCCCCATGAACATTCAGTCCCAGACCTTCGGTGAGTTGAAGGGAACGGCCTCGGTATCGACGACAATTCTGCACCCCGGGTAGAATTTGGATCTTACACCAACACCAAAAATGAAAACAACAAGAAGATAATGTAGAGAAAACAGCGGTCTCCTACGTTTGCTCGGGGTTAGGAGTTTAGGTATTGTGGTAACACAGCGGGAATGGTTGAGGTAAGATCTAGATAGACCAAGCACGTGACCTCAACGTAGATTTCCTGTTCGGCGCGTTGAATTTGAGTGCGAAGGACAGCCCGTCAACCTCAACGCAACGACAGGTCACTCCATCTCCGAATTCCACGAGGCGTCGCCCATACAAATTCTCTAAAATGGCTGCTCTAATCAAGGCTGCGAACGCCAAAATCCGGTCAAACCCAGTGACCGACTATGTTTGCTCAACCCGTACGTCTTTCGAATATCCTGTCATGTTTTTTGCATGAGCTCCGATTCGTCTCCGAAAGCGCAATTTTGTGATATTGCAACCCAACAAGCAACACTGCGGCTACAATGCATATAGAGGCACATCTTAGGCACAGAAAAGATGTGGGGGGGATTGTTATTCCTCTGAAATATGTCAATTGGGCTGTTGGAGGTTATGTTGATGTGCAATGCGTGTTTTGGAGCACGGCAGCTTCGGGGTAATTAGCGTGTCGAGATTTGCGACTGACTCTTGATATTTGCAGACTTTTGGGGCCCTGTCTCCAACTTTGGTATCCCTCTCGCGGCCATCATGGACACGCAGAAGAGCCCCGAATTGTATGGTAGACCAATAATGCATTATCACCAAGCGTAACTGACCTTGCCTCTATTAGGATCTCGGGACAGATGACTGGTGCTCTCATCATCTACGCCGGTACTTTCATGCGATACTCACTGGCTGTCACACCCAAGAACTACCTCCTATTTGCCTGCCACTTTGTCAACGCTGGTGCCCAGCTTACCCAAGGATACCGATACCTCAACTACCATTACTGGGGCGGAAAGGAGAACATGCCCAAGGAGCAGCTGGCACAGGCTGCCGAGGCTGCCAAGGGAAAGGTTGAGAAGGCCACGGAGAGGGTTCAGAATGCTGTAAGCAAATAAAGACGTTACCAGACCGACAGTCAGTGGAAGGGATCGGTGTGTCGGGCTGCATGCCGTCCATAATAGGAGTGTCCCCGGGTTGTACCTCGGGATTCGGGGAGTGGCAGCACACAGCTACCGCACAATAACGTTGTAACTTTACAAGAACTTGTTCCCTTGAACATCTAGAATCGCACCCCGAGTTGGGGTCTTTGCAGCCCTCGTGCCTGAAGAGTTGCTGCGAGAAGATCTTTTTGCAGGGATCCTTAGGTCAATGAATATGGTTAGAGCAAAGAAAGCAGACCTTCAAATGCCACATTGGGATGCTGCGAGCAAGTGATGAGGAGGAGTGCTCCCCGCAAAACGGAGATACAATGAAATTCCCCGGGAGGGCTTCCGATGCTTTTCTCGTGATGGAAAATGAAACATTGGTATTCCTCATTCTAGAATGTCAACTGCATGCTAGGGTTTCGTTCTTATAGCAATTTTGTCTACCGGTACTTATGTAACAAGACTTCTTGACGTTTTCATTGTTACGGTCTCGACATTTAGAAACTTCGAGGAACGAGATGTGTGTAGTTTCAATTTAGCAACGATACAATGCACGCCCCCTTCATGAGAGCAAGGTACGTAGCTCCCTTGAAGTCAAGATACAAACATAGATCTGAACTGGGGTTGGACCCCTTGGTTCCCGAATCTTGCATAGAAGTTCCCGACTATTCTCGTGCGTGTGCCTGGCCTTCCCCCACCAGGTTCCCGAAGTGACGGAATAAGGTCAAGGTGAAAGGGAAACCAGGGGTGAAGACTGACTAGCCGCCATTGATCAGCAAATGCAAGGTCAGTGTGCCTACCCCAGCTCTTTTCAGGCGGATCTGGTGATGTTCTGGTCGGCTTCTGTCCGTGAACGTGGGGATAAGCCTTTCCTCTGTAGTTTTGGATCCTCGGTGAACGACCTGCAACGCCGGCAACACTTACGGTTATTACCCAACCATTACCGTACCCGCGTGTTGCCTATGCTAACCGCCTGTGGGGTATGGAATGGCATCATCTCGAGTCCCTTACGAGGATCCCACATGATCTGTGTAGTCTGCAGTGTTTCGCGACTGGGTGTGGGTTGTGAGGATGGAGCTTGATTTCAGAAGTAGGTATCTTACCTACTGAATGACATTGCTCAGCATAGAGCAATAACCGGCAAGCTATATGTGTCTGTTTTTCCCCACATTACTGCCACTGAACCAAGAGTAATTGGCCACATAGAATTGTGATACCAAGAAGCCTCAGATGATTGCTATGTAATACGTAGGTACCTACTCCAGTGGAAACATCCATAGGCCGATAATCCACCGCCCTAGGCTCCAGATTTGACTCCAACTGCCTGTTCTGGCCCGGCATTTGTGAGGGGAAAACGCCAGTGCTTCAAGCATTTCGGTCAACCAATTTTTCTGGATACACGCCGTGCACCAGGTAAGTTACTTGAGATCGAGCAGAGAATGCCTTCCTATTCGGTTTTGCTCAGCCCTACCCCAATTGCCTCTCGACGTAATTAATTTCAACCTTTTAAACATGGAAATTATGCGGAGGGGTACACCGAAGTCCGAGGTCGGACCTACCTCGCTTTCTACACCTAGTTGCCTGGTAGTGAACAGCTGAGTAATTCACACCTGGCAACTCACATCCAATCCGGGGATGATAGAATCTGTATGTCTGACGAGAAAAGATTTTGTAAGTAGGTAATTTTCATCGCCAGTGGAGG